ATAAAATAAAATCTAGCCTAAGGCACTGAATGAAGAGTTTTGCCTACTCTGGACATTGCAATGAAATTTTCTGTGGTTGCAACCGCCCCCTCCTTTGCCCATTCACATGCTATCTAAATGCCATCCAAATGCTCCACCCTGCCTGTTAGTCATTAAAATTGAAGAACTGATTGCTTGTTTAAGAAAATGGAATCCTATGGCAGAGTTCAAAGCACCAAAGCCTGTACACATGTCCCCTGTCATCTGGTGGGCATGAAAACGAGAGCATGACATATCTTAACAAGAGCATCACTGGCCCTGTTCCCTCTCGAGGTGCTGTGGCCATGACAATCTCCTGGCTTCACAAGGCCACAGCACAAAGCCCTGTAGCCATCACGTCAGCAAAGTGGCAACATTAAGACTACCCACGTTAGAAATGGACGGCAGCAGCTGTCTTCTCAGAGAGGCAGCTGATACTCTGCTGACTGAGAACAGCAACATGGAGCCGGCTAATTCTCCATGGCAGAGAAGACTCAGAAGTTGAAATTCCTGATTGCAACACTGTGAAAAAGTCAGATATCTTACGATTAATCTGAGGGGACTGGGCCATTCTTTTGCTTGGCCAGCCTGCAATGATACATCTGAACCTGGTTTGTGAACTAGAGCAGAACCAGCTTGTTAGCTACAGTAATGAAATGCTCCCATATTAAAAAGTCACACAGCAGAGGGTACTGGGCTACTCTCCTCCATCAGTTCTCCATAATGGAATGACTAACATCCAGCCGGCTAATCTCTGGGCCTTTCTCTCTTTCTCCTCCCAGGGGTGGATTAACCAGTAAGGAAGGTATGCACTGGCTTATAGTAAGCAAGGTACTCACGGGCTTACTTGTGTTTACTTACTAATCCATAGTGAAGAGTTTCCCATGGGTTTCACCACGTCTTTATGTGGTGAAAAACAGGTGAGATTGTGCCTGGGAGGAGAAAAACTCCCTTTAGTCTCTTGTCTCCTTCCTTCCCTAGGGGCAAAAGATTAATGACTCCAGGAACTGTGAATATGAAATGAGCTTTAAGGAATAAAAAGAGAAAAAAAAATACAGTGGTTTAATAGATCATATCTACCTACCTATCTATCTACACATACACACCTTTATCTATAGCTCAAGATTTTTTTCTCTAAAAACTTTGCTGATAAGCAACGACTGCCGGCTACACTCTGAAAAAACAAGCCTTACTTGGCCCCTCCCTGGTCCCTCTATAAGTGCCTCCTCCTGTTCCCCTGGGCACTGCTATTACTACGCAGCACGAGGTCAGGAATGATGGATGGCACCTGGAATGGAAGACAAACAAAAGGAGACCCAGAGAAATCAGTCTCCAAGGATCATTTGCAACTGTATCTTCAAATGAAGTTTTCCATGTTACATCAAAGATGACCCTGACTATAACCACCTCCCCCAACACACACCTATAAAACATGAGAGACTTCTGAAAGAAGACAGCACAAAAAAGTTTGCTCATCGCTCTACAGAAAACTGCTTGGCAAAGTAGAGGGTCAGTGAAAAAGAGGAAGACCCTCAACGAGATGCATTAACACCGTGGCGGCAACAGTGGGCTCAAACATAACAATGATTATGAGGATGGTGCAGGACCAGAGAGTGTTTCGTCCTGTTGTACACAGGGTCGCTATGAGTCAGAACTGACCTGACGGCACCTAACAACAACATAGAAAACTAGATTACGAGGAAATACATTAACAGGTAGCTGATCTGAAGTTCTGTCCTTTAAAAACATTGTTTTAAAAAAGTTGCTCATGGTTGGCACGGAACCCTTTGTTCACTTTACTCTCTATCTAGGCCTCCACAGCTCCCAAGGAAAAGCCACAGGTCATTAGTGATACTGCTGGTGGAAATGGCATCAACTTTCCTTAATGCCTAAGGCCATCACCCCAACGCTCAGCACATCAAAGGGACATTCAGAAACGGCGATATCCACCATGAGGGAAAAAACAGTGATGCCATGGAAACTTCAGTTTATCTCTTCTTATCATAGAACTGATCAGCAAGTTTGACATATAAATCATTAAGGGAAATGGAGACGCTGAGGGGCACTGGAGCTGGGCAGAAAGAGGCGAACAGGAATTCTTCAGAGGACAACAGATTCCTGTGTCAGCAGTTTGCTGTTTGGATGAGTGAGGCCACTCCACTTACATGGCACCTTATCACCATGGTAACCAAGCAGAGCTCCATCTCATTAGGCCAACACAGTTTCGGCTCTCAGACTGTAGCTCTTGCAGAAGGGCTGTGACTGGCTGGGTGGCAACAGAAGGCAAGTCTTACAAGGTATATCACATCTGGGAGGTAAAACCACCTGCCAAGCTAGCTTGGGGGTCTGGGTTCTTAGGCACTGAGAATTTCTCCTAATGTTCAGGAAGAGGGGCTTCCTCCCTTTGCCACAAACAAACCCAGGGTTGGAATTACCTTCCTGCAGCCATCTGGCTCTACCACGCTGAGCTGCCTGGGGCCATCGCGGACAGACAGCACATCTGAGTTCAGGGTCCTTGTGGAAGGATTCCACTGTGGCCATGGTGAGGGCAGGGACTCAGAACCCTGAGGAAGTCCTAGGACCTGAGGCTTTACTTCCCTGCCAGCAAGGGGAGCAATATTGAACACTCTCCCAGACACTGATATCTCTCAGCTCTCAAGGAAGAGATTCTACAGCCTTCTGTAGTCATTCATCCCAGTGACTCACCAACTGACCACTATAGTGTAATCCTATTTTTCTAAATTCCATACACTGAGAACAAAGCTACCTTTATTTTTAAAAACACTCTTGAAAGGATAACAATGATAGTAAAGAAATCTCAAATGAGGGAAACTCCCACCCACAATCTTACCACAATATGACAATCTCTCTTATCATTTTGACAAGCATCTCTAGTCTTCCAGAACCACAGAGAAACATTTTTGCTTAGCTACCATCATGATAAACAATTTTAAAAAATCTTCTTATAATACAAGAAATATTTTTTTCCATTTTTCTCACACTCATCACAATTATTGTTTCTACGGGTGGTTTCCCTATTGCTGACTGTCACCGGGAGCACTGGGTAGGCAAACTACAATCAATCTCTTCTCTCTCCAGGGTGACAAAGGGACAGCCCATCTGCCACCTCTTCACAAAACCACAAAGAAATTACACTGTGTTCGGCTTTATCCAGAGGTCCAAGGTCTTCTCCTCGAGAGTTTTAAATTACTTTTATTTTAACAAATATTATTTATATTCCTCTTAGGGGTTACCATGTGTCAAAACTGACTCGACGGTAAATGGTTTGGTTTTTGGTTTTAGGAGCCCAGAATGTTTCTCCTAGTTTGTAAACGTGACCCTTGTATGAATGTTCCAGCACAGTGGCCATTACCTGCTATAATAAAAAGTGAGAAACCATTCTTCAGGGATTTGCTTGGACACAGAGAAGGTTTTGGCATCAGGCAGAACAGACTTGGACTGCACAAGACTTCCTGTTTTATTTAGGAACAAGGGGTTTCGATCTAAAACATTTTAGTCACATTCTGCCAAGCTCAGCCCTGACTTGAATGGGGCAGCAAATACTCCCAGAGAGTTTAAGGGGAGGCCAACTTTCCGTTAGAGCAGGAGGCAAGTCTAATTCTCCACGCAAATGTCCACAAAACTCTAGCACAAACAACCATGTTCGTTATTTTCCCTAATTTATTTTGAATACAAGCCAGTGCTGGGTAAGTTCTCTGGTGCTTGCCAATTAAACTGGCCAACCCAGACATTAAGTGAAAAGGTATCACACCTGAGCCTTCTTTAGAAGGACAACCACTCCATTTAGATTTCCAGCCAAGAAAACCAATGGCTCAGGGAAGATACAGCCTTCTGCCCCCCATTTTGGTCCAAGTCAGTAAGAACACCTAAAGCCCAGACAGTCTTGACTGGAACTTGATTGCAACGTAAGTGCCCCTGGCTGCATCTGTGCGTGGGCTTGGGATCCTGCAGTAGTAGCAGCCGCTGTCGCCCAGCTGTTCCTGCACTACACGTTTTCCCTGGTAAAACTTCAAGCAAGCTGGCAGGCTTCACGCGCCTCACTTAGCTTTGTTTGTGTTTTCAATGCATCAAAGGGGTATGGAGACTAATCAACATGTTTAGAAAAATAAAGAAAGGAAAAAAGAGGAACAGCTCATGATACTGGCTGTTCCTCCAAGCTGGGTGAGAAAAGCTCAGCCGAAGAGGACGCAGGAAGGAGGATGGGGGAGGGAGTTCCAGAGCAAAGGGACATGGGCCGCTGGTGGCAGGCTGTATCAAGGTGCCAAGCAAGGAGTCTTCATGGCAGGAGTAGGAACGCCACTTGGAGACCTCACAGACCTGCTGGGTTCTTGAAGGCTGACGGGCTGCGACCTGACCACCTCCGCCTGCGCTCAGCTCTCCAGCACCTGCCCAGCTGTGATTCCCACTGAAGTCCTTCTCTTCCGGCTGGTGAACCAGCTTGATCCTCCAATCACACCCCAAGCTGTTCCTAGGAGGCCCTCTGCCATTTCTTCCAGCTGCTCCTCCTGCCCCATCTCTTCAGGTTCAAACCTTCTCTATCCCTCTTGCCAAAGGCTACTCGGAAGTCTTCCAGATGAACACAACTCCCCCTGGTGACCCCACGGTAGGTGCGACGTGTGCCTATACCTCGTCCCCTCATTAGACTGGAAGCCTCCTGAGTGCAGACAGTCATCTGTCTCTGACCTGGACACCCCCACCTCCAGCCCTGAACACAGGGCTTTATACCTGGAAGCCAAATGACTCACTGATGAAACACATTTAACGAGCAAGCAATGTGAGTGGGCTCTCTTCACTCAGCTGCCTAGTCTCCCACCCTCCACTAGAAAATAAGACCAGCAGGAATCCAGTTTGTCAACAGGATACAGTGTTTTCAGCTAAGTCCAGAGCAGGGATCCCCTACAGACCCGAAGAGGAACAGGGAAGGCCATGCGGCCCAAAGCCGGTAGGAAGCAGCGAGTTACCTGAGCTCACGCTGCCCTGCAGCAGGGGGTCGTGGAGTGACATCACCGACTGGATGACTGAATAAGAGAAAGGGTACAATTAGATGAGGAAACACAGTTCAAGGGTTTCAAGCTGCCTAATGCGCAGAACCCAGCAGACCAAGGGAGTGTGTCTGAGCCACAGGGGTGCGAGAGAGGGGTCCCACTTCTGACTGGCAGAGGGCCCTGCAGGCAGACATGCGGCTGGTATAGCACTGGACACCAGGTCTGGGAGCAGCGGAAGCTTCTCACCTGCCATCCTTCACCTCTATGCCTTCGACTGATTTTTCTTTCCCAGTTCTCTGCCTTAGCTACTTGACTTTTACCCATATTTATGTATAAACAGTTTTTCTTAATTAGTAACTCATTTCCTGTTGCTTACAAAATTAGCTAGGCACAATCTTCTTTCCTAAAAACTAAAGTCAGTCCCATGGCAACAGGTGGTAGAGGGAGAGGGGAAGTTCTCTGCCTCCCTGCGTCAGCCAACAGCTGCGAGTGGCTGGCTGTGTGCCTGAATGGATCCCCACTCCCTCCCAGCCTGCAGTAGCCCCCTGGCCATGGCTAAGAACGTGGTTGACCGCCTCCCCCCACAGATCCTCTGTTCCCTACTCCCCCTTCCAGCCCAGCCCAGCCCAGGGCAGGGCTGCAGTTACCTGGTCCTTGCTGCTGCCCTTGGACAGGAAGGACACCCTGGCCCAGCTCGCCATTCAGCCAGAGCTGCATCCGGATGAAGGGTTCCCGGCCTTTCTGAGTCAATTTGCTCCACGGCTTCGGCCGGGACAGCATGTCGCTGACACTGCCCTGGGAGAGGCCCAGCACCTTGAGTGGCAACCAAAGACACACAGCCATCAGGGCCAAGTTTTCAGTGCAATGCTGCAAAATGGGTGAGTAATGCAAAGAAACCATGTCGGGGCAGGGCAGAGATGGCAACACGGGGACCACTTTCAGGGCTGACTCTGAGCACAGGACACACCTGGTGGAGGGTAACAACCTGGGTGGGAGATGTGCATCTCAAGCTCACCACAGCCTGCCACCCTGGCACTCAGCGCATTTGGGGCCAGTGTGTTCACACCCCAGCCACAGTATGGTCACGGCTTTCAGCTAACAACAAAGCAGGCTGGGAAAGGAAGGTGCTCTCGCCCCAGGGTCTTGATCCTGCCAAGGGTGCAGGATTGCGGTCGTGAAAACCTGAAGAAGCATTTGGAACCACCTTGCTTTTCGCCTGCAGGCACCAGAAAAGTCTGCGGTGTGGGGCCAAGCGTCCCTTCAGGCAGGAGCAGTGGCTGTAGTGGTACCTGGGCAGCACGTCTCTACGCTGAGCTGGGCCTGGCTGGCATTCAGAAAAGACTTACTCTCTGACCCCATCCTGCTCTATGGTGGGGGCCTAGAGGTGGGCTGGTGGCGACGGGGAGCCAGCCTGGGAATAAAAGCTGGTTGCAGACCCTCGACAAACTGCATGTGTGTGCGGGGCTCCCTGCTGGCACATCTGGCTGTCCAAATGCACAGACTCAGCCACCCTCATGAGGACTCAGATGCAGCCCCCATCACTCTCTTAAAAAGTTCTCAAGTTCCAGAATAAACTGCACTCACAGGCCAAACAAGTTCAACACTATTAAGTCTCTGCTAAATGTAAGGCATGAGCACAAATGTCTATTTAAATGTTCTCAAATGATATTTTCACAACACTAAATTAGAAATTCCAAGGGGCTTTAAATTCTCATCCTCATTTCTAGTCACTCCATCACCTTTTGCAAAATCAGGACAAAGAGTTCACAATCAGATATTGCAAGGATTCACTGCACGCTGAAGTGAAGGCAGGACAAGGCCACTGCTGCCATGCGCCCCCCAGGAGGGCAGCACTTAGGGGAGCAGAGCCCTTCTGCTTAGCAAATCACAATGCAATCTAAAACAATACTGGTATATTATTCCTACTTTATATCTTACACATACGGCAGGCCCGCATTATGGAAGTACCAAGAGCAGAAAGGGTCTGGAAGCTCATCCACAAGCTAGTATACTTTCCTGAGCCAGGAGGGACAACAAGGAAATGGGGACCCGACTTTCAGGGCAAGTCCTGGGCCCGGCCTGCCCTGTGCAGCTCTGCCCGTGCTGCCCCTGCCTGTGTATTCCTGGGCAAGCCGCCTCACCTCTCTGCTGGACGATACCCAGGCACCTTCTGAATTATACCACAAAGGTACCGTTATGCTTCGTGTAGGCTCTTCTGTCAGTGCCTCCTGGTTATTGGCACATGGCCATCTCTCTGTGTGGTCAGACTATGCCTCTTTTGTGGCCAAAACAGTTTGCACAGGTGTCTCTGGAGCTGAGACATGGCCATGGTGGCTGGACTGAACTCAGCCACCAACTGCTGGGGCAAGTATTTAACTTCCCCGAGCCTCAGTTTCCTCATTTGTACCCTTACAGTGTAACTGAGGGTTTCCAGGAGAGCATGGGTGGGAGGGCCAGGCCCAGGGACTGGCCTGCAACAAGCACTCTGTCAATGTCACCTGGGAGCTGGAACGTCTCACCGTCAGCCTCTCTGCCAGCTTGGGAATGGAGGCGACCTGAGGCTCCTTGATTCATTAAAAAGGGTGATGACCACCTGCTCCAAGATAGACACTTAGTCCTAAGCAATGAAAAGAGAAGGGAAAACCCAAGCCCTGCATGGAATCCCTTACCTTCTCCCCGAAGATCCGCTGACAAATGCCGTTCTTGGCCAGCTTCTCTTTCACCTGCCGGGTGAGCTCTATGGTGTCCACCTCCTGGTACATGTAAATCTCATACTGCTCAGGGGTCAGCGGAGGGACTGAGGGTTTAGATGGCTTCGACATGGGCACGATTGGGGAGGAAGGCAGAGGGCTGTTCTGGGGTGTCTCGCTGCGGCTGGCCCCGGTCAGGCTCAGCTCTGAACTCTGGGAGTATGGTGACTCGGCATTGGGCCATTCTTTCCAGTACTCCGACGAGGAGGGTCCCTGGAGCTGGTTGCGCTCGGCCCGTGCCTGGCTGCTGCTGGCTTTTTCTTTCCCACTGCTGGCTTCTTCGACCTTCATTTCTTCAGAGGAAACTGTGGTGTTCCTCCTCTCTGGCTGGATCGTGCTCCACCAGTGGTCCTTCCAGACACCGCTGCGGCCTAACTCGTTTTTCACGTGTCTCAGAACCCCTTGAGCAGCCTCAGTCGCTCCGGGAAGTTCCGGCCCAGTGGCATCCTGGGGTTCCTTTTTGATGGCTGAGGGGTTTGGCAGGGCAGAGACGCTGGGATCTGGAGCGGAGGAGGGTTTCTTCAGGGAGATGGCTATGGGTGAGTAGCTGGACACCGACGACATGGGTGAGGTGGACAGTAACTTGGGGGTCAGGATGGTGATGTCTGTCTGGGACAGTGGTTCTTGTTTTAAGGCAGGGTTGAGGGCGGCCTGCTGGGCCTCCATTTCTCGGCGGGCTTGCTGCAGGATGGAGCGGATGGCGTCGTCAGAGTTCCCGCTGCTGGATGCAGAAGACGGCTGGGCCGGCTCAGCTGCATGGAGAAAACACAGTGGTGAGGTGATGCCCTCGGCTGGGCACGCACTTCCTACCTCCAGCTTCTATCTAACCTGACCTACCACACATTGTGGATTCTTTAGGAGAACTACACTGCTTTATTTTTCCAACATTTCCCCCATCAGGGAGCGTTCGTGGATCGTGTCTGAACAGTGACAACAGAACAACACCCTGCTCTGTGACCCGATGCCCTCACTGCTCAGGCAACCAGAAGCATTTCTGATCGTGGAGGGGGATAGAAGGGGAAGTGTGGACATGCTCAGTGACATGCCATCTGGGACCTTCTTTTCATGGTAATTTCTAAACTTCATATTGTCATGCATTATATTCCACAACTCTAGTGCTTCGGTCAAACTTTAGAAATACAACTTCTGTTGACAACTGACCTGAGAGACGAGTGTCTCCCAATGACAAATGAGCACATTTGGGTGAATAAGGAGGAATCCTTGTCTGAGTGGATCACTGTGGTTGGCCAGCAACAGTGAACCTCTTCCAGGGGAGGGGAGAAGAGGAGCAAAATGAGGCTGAGATGGACGTCCCTGGCCCAGGGGCCCCAGGACTTTGTGCCCCTGGAGAAGTCCCGGGCTTTGCTGGGCCTCAGCATTTCCACCTGTAAGTTGGAACGGTAACAGACTAGATCAATGACTCTTAGCTAGGGCTCACCCGTTGAGCTTGTTAAAATGCACACGCCCAGGCCCAGCCCTAGAGTGTCTGATTCAGAAGGAGACGTGGGCTGGACCAGCATCTGCGTTTTTAACCAGCTCCCCGGCGAGGGTGGTGTGAGGCCTTGGTGAGAAGCACTGATGGGGTGTTTCTGCAGGCGCTCCAGCTGACATTTCAGAAGTCCATAACCTTCTTGCCTTTGTGCCACACTCCCCAAATAATATGCTTTCATGTCTGGGGGAGGAAATCATACACCCTGGCTCTTCATCTGCTTTAAATGTGTGCAAAGTAACAGCCTTTAATGCCTTTCGAGTACTTTACTGATTAACAGAGGGTCTTCCCTCCTCTAATTCAATGACCCCCGCAGCGTCCTTATCATGCAGGCAGCACCACCATCATTTTGAATACGGAGAAACTAAGGCTCAAGGAGGGAACAGGCAACAAAGAGAGTCAGGCCTTGGAGCAGGGCTTCACTCTAAGTTCAGATGTATTTTCTACCCGGCCAGGGTTGCCCTGCTAACAGTCCTGGCTATTTAGTCACCTAGAGGAGGAAGTTGGCTTAAGCCTCACCCCTGCCTATCAGAGCAAGCTCCATCTGTTGTCAGGCTTCAGAGCCCATAAAGAGGGTTTCTTACTGTTCTGGGGTCATTGGAAAGAGGCAGACAGCAATAGAGGGGTCCCCTCTACTGGACATGGGTTGGGAGATCTGGGTTTAAATCCATTTAATGAGTTTGGGCAAATTATTTCAGCTCTGAGCCTGAGTCTGATAATCAGGAATACTAGGATAGCAAAACCTATCTTCTAAGGTTGTTGCAAGGATTTATTCTGAACAGGAAAATGTAGGTGGAAATGCCCAGCCCAGGCCTGGTACTCAGAAGGGAGCTCATCCGCTGAATAAGCCCATGTGGGTGAGAGCTCTGGGGAGAGCTCGGCTGAGAGGAGCAAGTAACCAGGTGGTGGCTTGTACTCAGCTGCCATGGTTCCTACTGCTAGGCCGGGCAGGAGCCCTGTGGCCAGGTGCCAGGAGCGTCACGGGCCCGGGGCAGGCAGGCATCTGTGTGTGGAGCCCCAGGGAAAGAACCCAGACACTCAGCTTCCTCCCCAGTGGAAGATCTGAGCTGACTCTGCAGCATGGCACCTGCCTCTCAAACAACCAAATATCAACTGGGGAAAAGCTGGAATGTGGGAATTTCCTGTGTGGTGCAAATACCGAAAAGTTAGAGGTTCAAGTCCACCCAGAGGTGCCTTGTAAGAAAGGCCCGGGGATCTACTTCCAAAAAACCAGCCAAAGAGGGGGACCTCATACCATCAAGAAAGCAGTGCCAGGAGCAGAGCGCGTCCTTTGGACCGGGGTCCCTGCGCAGAGAATCTCCTAGTCTGGGGGAACACTGATGAGAAGGCCGAGAGAGAGAAAGCCTTCCCCCGGAACTGACACCCTGAATTTGGACTTTTAGCCTACTTTAACTGTGAGGAAATAAACTTCTCTTCATTAAAACCATTTAAAAAAAAAAAAAAAAAACCAGCCAAAGAAAACCCTGTGGAGCACAGTTCTACTCTGACACATATGGGGTCACCATGTGTGGAAGTCGACTTGACTGCAACTGGTTAAAAAACACAGCTCTCAGGGCCTCTGAGCTGAGGCCGGCCACAAAGGTGACATTCGGCCACAAAACCTTCCTGCTCCTCCCTAGCAACATTCAGTTCTACTAAGCAGATGTTAAAAACTTATTTTTCACTCATTTTTTCAGTTGCATTTGGTTAAGAGGCTAATTTTAATTTGCATGTATGCTATTACCCAAACAACAAGCCTGTATTGAATTTAAAATGGAAACCTGATACAAACTGCTTGCTAATTTAAGTCTCTAAGTGGCTAAAATGAATTTAGCTACTGAAAAGGAGATTCCAGGCCAGGGGTACATTCCTGAGTCAATGCTAGGGAATGACATTATAGGAAGAATGTTAACTATTAGTAAGACAGATATTAAACAGACCTGGTCTCCTTTGCAACTGTCTAAATGCTTGAAAACACATATTCATTATTGTTTAAAAAAAAAAAAAAAAAGTTAATTACTGCTGACCAGAACGCTCATGACAATTCTTTTAATTAAGTTTGGAAGCCAGCAGCCACTGAAGTAGAAGAGGAGGCCGTACCGGTTTTCTGCACCTGCAGCTCCCTTTTGGCTTGTTCCAGGATGGACTTGATTGCTTCATCGGAGCCAGTCTCTGAGGCACGGATCCGGGTGGTGATGTTACCTGTGGGGAGAAGCCACACCAATGACATTAAACCCACACCTTGAACAAAATACAGTGCTGCACGAAGACAGCGTTCTGACAAAGAGCCCGAGGTGAGGCCAGTGACGGCAAGGAGGCAGGCATGGCCTCCCATTTACCTGCACTTTGTGTGAATGCAGTGTCATAGCGGGTACTGTGACACTACAGGGCAGGCTTCCTGCTTAATCTACCTTATATTAAATACCGGTCTACCAGTGAGAGCTCTCACATTTACCCAGCTGGACCTCACCCATGGGTTCATATCAGGGAGAACAACTCATTTCATCCAGTATAAAAAAAAGATGAGGAATTAAAAGGCAATGTTTTTTCCTGAGTCATTTAAAAACGACACCAACTCCTTTGGCCTGGGACTATATTCAGACTCTGTACATTTATTTGAGGCTGGTATCCCAAACAGGGAAAACAATGGGAAAGGAGAGAAAAGGACTGAGGCTGACTGTCAACATCTACAAGATAAAGAGGCAGAAGCTTCAACTAAAAAATTTCTGATCCATTATCACTTATTATCTTTTTTTAAATTTGTGAACAAGGAGAGAAGCCTGCAGAAATTCCTAAAGGACAAGAATTCGTCTTATCTGTCACATGGTGATGCTCTGCAGAGTAGCCATGTGTGCAGACACACTAAAGCTACTGCAGCCCAGGGGCTGGCCCCAGTTCTTTCTGGAAGCTGTCCAAATATTTTAATTTCTCACTACCTTACTAAACATGAACCGCCACGTGAAACCATTTAAAAACAAGTATACCACTGGGACTCAGCCCATTAAAGACACAGCTCCAAAGAGTGCAGTGGGGATCGGCTTGCCCAGGTCCATGGGAAAACTGATTACATTTGGAATTTGTCCGCTCTGGAGGACCTTTACCATATTTCAGACTTGAAAATACGAGGAAGCAGCAGTATCTGATTTAACCAAATCACCTGATTTTTTCTCAGAGCAACAACTGTTATTCTTTCAGCTGCTTCCGAGAAAACAGGAGGGTGTAATCTGAATCTTAAGGGGTTGGGATTCATACTTAAGGGGCTGCTTTTTAGTGATGCTGCCCTCTTTTCACCTCCGCTGCACCCCGTAAACCTGGGATCGGCAGCTCGGGAGGGAGGGGGATGTGAGTACTTGAACCCGTGCTTTGTTTTATACTTACTAGCTCTGTTTTTCCATCAGGTTCCAGGCCAGAATCACAATGCACAGTTTTAAGCAAAATACACAGCTAAGGACATGCTGCTTCCTTGATTACTGACTGCAAAGAAAAACACCTGCCTGCAACATACCTTCAGACCCATTTCTTCGTTTCGGTACTTCCTGAAATAGTCTGTTCAGGCTCTGGCCTGGATTCTCTGTTGAAAAACAAGTGTGGTAAGAACAAAACAATCAGGGGAATCGTGGTGTTGACGATATGGGCTGTGTGACATGAAATCTGAGCCGCCTATCACTAAATAAAGGGCTTCAGGGCTCCTGGGCTCAGGGCTTCCTGTGCAACTTGGCAGTTACTAGAAACTTCTGAGAGGCCCTTCCCTTGCTGCCTGGGCAGCAGAAGCTATGGTTCTACTGCAAGAGATCACACCAACCTAAACAGCAGCCTATGGCATCAATACAAAGAGGGCCAAAGGGAGGGAGAACTGCCTCCAAGCAAATTACCCACCAGCCCCCAGAACCAAGCCCCACATTAATCATCCAGAGACATTCAATTTCAGTTAACCTCACCATAAAAAGCTCCATGTTCTTTGTGCAAATTGATGCTGCTCAAAACATCTCCCTTCTCCATTTGTTTGAGTCTCAATTTCAGGAGGTTTCAAATGAGTCTGATAAAATTATCTCCCTATATCACTGTGATTTATCAGAATGATCCCCTTGCTCTTAAAGAGGGAAGAACTTCTTTAAATTATGGATGTGACTGACTTTTTATCTTTTCTGGATGGTGGGGTAGGAATGGTTTTTTTAATAAAACTTTCATGGGTTTTTCTCAAGGCAGGCATATTTTGTTCCTAATGCTAAACAAATCAATAATGGAATGTAGATATTATAAATAAGTTGACCACAGAACATACTCTCCTCTGTGGGGTGGGGAAGAGAAGAGAAGGCGTTGTTGATTACCTTCTGCCCACGGAAACTAGGTCTGGAGGAGGATTAATTCTAGTGGATGTTGCTGCTATAGGGCTGGATGGTGCCCAAGGGCTCCTCCAATGTGAGGCCAGCACCGAGGGTCAATTTGACCACCAGACGCTAACACACTGGGATGTTGTCCATAATACAATTCCCTCCAATCCAATACTCGCTCACTGAGTTTATACGTGCAAGCTGAGTAAAATGGAAAGACCAGATCGCCAAAATCTATCAGCTTTAGCTCATGCCTGTTGACCCTTGAGCTCTGGAAATGAGCGAACTGAGAAGTATCTCACCTGATGTGATGTACAAATGTTTTAGCACACACACAGACAGACACACAAATACACACGTCCAACTTTGCGAAGGGCTTACACGTTTGTGGCAGCCCGTGAAAGTATCTCACCTCTTTGTCTGCCTTGGATGCTGCGGAGGGCCAAGATGTTCTGCTCGTCAGAGAGGAACTGCTTCATCTTGTGAAATGGTTCCTTGCCTCGCACAGTCAGTTTATTCCACGGCTTGGGGCGGGCCAGAATCTCACTCACGGACCCTTGAGACAGTCCCAAGACATAATGTCCGAAAATGCGCTGTCCGATATTGTGCTTGATCAACTGCTCTTTCACCTGCCGGGCAATCTCGGCCGTGTCTATCTCCTCGCCCTCGGAGGCGCTCCCAGCACTTTCTGACTGGCTGGGGGACGGGGCCATGCCATTTACATCTGGGCTTTGTTGTAATGGACTTTGGGAAGATATGGAGTTTGTGCTGTATGGACCTGTTGAAAAAATCATGCTTGTGCTTCCTGCTTCCTGCATGGCCTTGGAGTAGAAGGACTGCATTAGCTGTCGTTGGAGGAGAGAGTTTAGTGCAAATTTTCCTGTAGAAGCCAGGGGTAGGCTGGGGCTTGCCAGGGATGAGCTGAAAAAGTCTTGACTTAACCCCGCTGGTGAGAACTGGTGTGTACCGTTAGTATTGGAAGCCTGCTCCCCCGTGTTGCGGGGCAACTGAGAAGGAGGGGAGGCCGGCAAAGGTCCAGGACGCCGACTCTCAGGCTGGTCTTTCCCTTTTCTCCTGGCTGACCCTACAAGGAAGGGCAAACATAATGCATTATGGGGGATTCAAAAGGGAAAAAAAACCAAGACCAAAATGCAAAGTTTGCCCCACAAACGGGAAAAAAAAAAGTGCAGATTTTACAAGGGCCAATGAGGTGTGTTGGTTTGTTTTTCAATTGAATTTTTAATTAGCCAAACGAGGCCCCCCAAAACAAGCAACATGCATTTCATGTTTGCGCCTTTCTTGTACGTTGCAGCCTGGAGAATCCCCCTGACATCGATTCAAACTCCTAAATGTGGCAAGGAGCCGGTAACACACACGGTACGAAGTTGACAGGACGCCAGGCCTCGGCGGGCCTCTAGCATTCCAGCTATTACTAGAAGGCCCCACCTGAGGAGCAGCAAACACTGACATTTTAGGACCCCTGGATTCTCTCGCACCACTTGCTCTGAGGCGAATGCATTGTAACGAGTCCACTCGATCGAAGGCACGCACATTTTAAGAATGAATTATCATCAAAGCCCGAGACACCTTTGAACGGTTTACCAGCTGCCAAAACCAGAAGCACAGTCAGTGACGCCACCATTTTGGGATGAGCAAAGAAAGGCTAAGGATGGGGGATGCGTCCCCACGGCAACCTGACCAAGGAAGAAAAGCTCCCCTGAGCCTGGAAGGGTGGGGGAGACCACAGAATTAGCCCCCAGAAACACCAGGAGAGAGGCTGCATTCACCTCTGCTCCCGCCGACTCACAGCACAACTAGAGAAGAGACCAGAAAGCCAACATCCTCGAGTGTCCCTCTCGGGTTGCCTGCAACACTTCCTCTACCTGACCCCTCGGACGCGCTGAGGCTCATAATCTCGTCGCGTTGCCCGACTAAGCAGGGCGGGGAGGGCAGGGCAGAGGAGCAGTGAGGAGGAAAGGAGGGAACCAATGCTCGTTAGTCAGGATTCGCACTGCCGGCGAGGCTCCCGCCATGCATCAGCCCAGCGCACAGCTCACCTGCCTCTTCCTCGACCCTGCAAAGTGAACCCAGCACCACACTAGCGACCCCGTCAACCTACCGCTCAGGTCACTGTTGGAGATGCGCAGCGTGGCGTTCTCGGACTGCAGTGAGCGGTTCTTCTCCAGCAGCAGCACTTCCAGGGGCTTGGACGCATCCTAGACGGGGCAGAGCAGGGCTCACTCTGGGCCGGCCACCTGCCCCCAAGGCCCCAGGCCCAGCACCCCTGCCTGTCTCACAGCTTTCCCACCCACTCTCTCCATGGGGCTCTAACATATGTTAGAGAAATCTCATTTCCCCTAAAGATTTTTAATGCACACGTGGAACAAATTAAAGTTCCTTTTAAACGGAATTAATTTCAGTTATTTTTTCCCCCTTTTTCTAGAACTCACATAACTTCTAGACAATTATTCTCCATTCTGTCTCCAAATTCAAGCAGTTAAAGACAGCAGCTGCCTTCTGGGCACCAGGAGTCCGTCTGATGCTTTAAATTTCCATTGGCCACTATATGACCCTACACCACTGTCATCCTGCCCCCTCGCCAGGTGAGGCAGCAGGTAATTCAAGTTCCTACGCCAACCCCTTTTAGGCTGATCTTTAACACAGTCTGAAGTTGCTTTTTATTCATATGCTTAGTACCCGCCCAAGTTACATCACAACTTCATTTGAACTGAGTTACCAGTTCAGAAGACATGAACTTTTTTTCTGTCTCTTTTTGCCTCTGCTTAATTCAGAGCAATTTGCTTCAACTTGGTTTAATGTTCTTGAAGATTTACTCAGCAGCTGGGTGCCGTTCTCCTCCAAAAAGACAGCTCTCACAGAAATACTGAGATTGTGGAGCTGCTGGCACACGTTGTGAAGCACACCTGGGGTGGGGGGTGGGGGTGGGGGGACAGTGACCAGCCGTGGGGCTATGCCAACGCTAAGAGCAAAGTGTGACCGTGTACCTGTGTCCCGGCTCCCTCAGACGGTGCAAACTCCATGGATTTCAGAATACTGTGGAGAGCAAGACAGAGTGGTTATTTTCTCCTTATACCTTCAATAACAGCCACACTAATAAGCGCTAATGTTACAATTTCCTGCTCTCCAGGAACCAAGTCCCTGACAACTTTAACAACCTCCCTGGCAGTAATATAATACGATAATGTCTCTAGAATAACTATTCAACTAGCAGTTGGCTAGCAAAAGTTTCTTGCCCAGAATGTAAATCATTCCATATGGAATCATACCAAGTCTGTTCAGAGTAAAATTTTAAAGTTTGGTACAAACATAATATTGTTGCAGTTAGAATGCAGTTGTATAGCTCAAAGGGAGTGAAGAAGTTGTTCCAAGGAAGCAAGAGAGGGAATGCATGCCTCCTCTGGCCTCGGCATCACATGCGTACTTGATACCGTGGCACCTGGGACCAGGCGAAACATCCCGCTATTAAATGTCCCAAAGTGTTGCAAGCCACCCTCCTCTACAGCCTCGGCAAACATGTGGCAAAAGAAGAGCTCTACCACCACTGGTTTCCCTATCATGAAATGGTCATTTCAGTCTCTTTGAACTGTTCCCTCAAGTCCAAAAGCTGAGTGCGTTCACGTCACCACAATGCCCATTTGCAGCGTTCCTTTGGCTGTGGACGTTCCTTTCTATCTGTGAGGCTGTCATGGAGAAAAGGGTAAATGAACTGGCATTGTCCTAAGGAGCTTCAACTGCTCCTTTTGAACACCGAGGAGGGGAAGGCGGTGGAATGAGGGGCTGCACGGTCAGATGTCCGGCCTGCAGGTGCACAGGAACGCGCCAGGCACGGAGCAGGCTGCACTGCCCTCCCCTCTGGCAGCTGCAGTTTAGGATGTATTCTCAAGAGACCACGAAGCGTGAAACTGGCAGCACAGGCAAAGATGCCTGGAACATGGGTAGACCTGTTTCTGTCCTGGTTGCTGACCTGTTGAAACTCAGGATCTGCTCACTCCAGTTTACCTGTGGCTGTGTCTTTGCAGTGACCCTCATCATGCAAAGGAACAAAATAGGAGTTACCATGGGGTAAACTGAGACTTGCATTTTACAGGGTGCTGCTGACAGAGCTCTAGGTCACATCAGGACAGACAGTGAGATGGACAAGCAGCCTGACAAGTGGCCTTTTCTCAGTGGTCTCTACATTGTTTGCTACTACATCCTTGTCCTTTTTTGATATTTTCTTTCCAATCATGTCATAAAACACTGAGTTTACACATCTATTTTAAAATGCAAATGTCTCCTCATTTATTCAACAAACATTTACCAATGACCTGTTAGCTGCCTGGTGCTGTAGAGAACAGAAGATGGAATGATCCTCACCTCATGAAATATATAATCTACCATAGATACCAAAGACCGAAATAGCATGTGAAAACTTGGTGGGGACCCTTGGGCAGGCAAGCTCTCATCTGGTGGAGATGGGGGCTCGGTTTCACAAGCAGTTAAGTTTCTGCAATGGGCCTTGGAGGAGCAGGCTGTTTAGAGTCCACTGTGGTGGGTGGGGGGCCTTGGGAGGTGAGATGGAGAATGCGCAAGGCCAATTTGGGGCAGCAGAGTGGAGGACGTGGAGACGGGTGAAGACGGGAGGGTCGCAGCACTGTGCCATAGACCCATTTGAATCACTAGGATGTGGGAGCCAGAACATATCTTAGCAGAAGAGCCACACAAGTAGAGCTTGAAGAGTCCATGGTGGTAGCAGCAACAGTGTACGGGATGCAAGAGGGCCACAGGTGTGGCAGATGAACGGGGGCTGGCGGGCAGCTCCAAGGAGGGTGAGGACCAGAGGGCAGCAGGGTAGGCAGATGGGGGGGAGGGAACAGACGAAAGCTGTGGTTACTGGGGACAGGGGTGAACACGGAGGAGGAGGTGTGGCAGCAGACCCCCAGGGTTCAGGTAAGCGTAAGCATCCCAGAGTGAGAGGGCAGTGGGTGTGGGTGAAGAAGGGACACTTTTCTTTGAGGGGAAGAAGGGAAAACTGGGACGGGGAGGCAAGTACAGAAGGTCAATCAGGTAAAAAATAAAAACCAGTTGCCATCGAGTCGATTGCGACTCATGGCGATCCCACGTGTGTCAGAGTAGAACTGTGCTCCATGGGGTTTTCAGTGGATGATTTCTTGGAAGCAGATCACGAGGCCTTTATTCCAAGGTGCCTCTGGGTGGACTTGAACCTCCAAGTCCAAGTTAGCAGCAGATGCATTAACTGTTTGCACCATCCAGGGACTCCAGGTAAAAAATACGTATCACTAAGTTGGAAATGGGCACGGGGAAGGCTACTCAACTTGTAGACGCTAGAAGCAGAGGAGGTACTGGCAGAGGCTGTCTGCACCCTGGAGGGGTTTGACTGCTTGGAGAGAGAGCTTGGACACAGGGACCAAGGAGAGCCACACGAAAGCAGTAGTGACCAGGGAAACTGGAAAAGATCATGACTGAGAGATGTTACTGATGTGGGAGCGAAGAGGTCACAGAGCCTCCGGTGAGCTTTATTAGCAGACCAGAGGGGATGGAATTAGGACTACAAAGAATGGCATGGTGAGTGGGTGTAGGCTTATCTTCACGGGAGACATTGAGAAGATCAGCAAGAGTGACAGTAACTGATAGACTAGGAGGAGGGAGTAGGAAGGAAGGGACCCAAGGCCCAGGTGGAGGGGCTTGGTCTGGAGAGAGGGGAGGTGGAAGCAAAGACCAGAAGGAGATTTGCCCTCAAGACCTCCAGAAAGCAGGGGCTAAGGGTGTCTGCTAGAGGCCAGGGGGACTGAAGAGAGGGGTGAAGGGCAGGGAACAGGCTCTGGGGTGGGGAGTGCACAGTATCAGTGGCAAGGCGAGCACAGGGAGCTGCAGGGCTGGTCAGCACGGGGCAGGGACTTTCTTCTGTAGCTGTGACCACCTGGGATTAGAGGCAGGGGTGAGAAGGGTGAGACTGCTGGCAAGGTGGATGGTTAAGGGAGAAGGTGGGCATTGTACTGGGGCTGACCGTGGGCCCCAGGCTGGGGAGGGGTTGATGAAGCCCAGGGGAGTGATGGACTTGGGGGGACAGGAGGGACCAGCGCCTGGCAGCTCCAGAGGGCCAAGGGCAGGTTCAGCGGAGGGAATGAGAAACATCTGGGCTTCAGAATGTAGCGCGGTCATGTAAGGGATGACAAGCCTTCAGCTGGGGTCTTGTACATAAGGGGGCTGGAGGTTGAGAGAAGAAGGGTCTGGAGTCCAGGAGGCCAAGGAAGCATGAGGCCATGAGTATTCTTTAAACTGGAAAATGTTCCTCTCCTCTGCTCCTGTTTGGAAAATTACAGCTGAAACGCAAGCTCATATTTTATAATTTCTATAAAGGTAATGTCTCTCCCAATTCCACACACACTGGCATACTTTAAATGCACAAAGGTTTATAAAAAGCCCAAGGAATGCAGGGCTAGGCCTGAGTGCAAACGCCCACAGCTCTGTCCAACGCTGGGCAGCCTGGGACACTGCTCAGTGGCAGCACCCAGGACGAATTCACGTATCCAGGAGGCTGAGCATCGGGCACCGTGGCTAACGCCGGCCGTCCTTGCACCACTGCCACCTGAGTTTTTGTTGGCAAACGTGACTAACAAGCCACGGCTTGTGAAAGGTCAAGCAGGTACCTCCACACTTACTTTAATTCTTTCTTCACTTCTTCATAGTCAGCCTGCCCTTTGAGTTTTTCTTCCAGTTGCTGAAAAGAGAGGGGGATTCTATTAATGGCAATGTCCGAAAATAGGTCGATGAAATTCATCAGCTGCACTCCCTGTAAAACATGCAGCCTGTCCCCGAGATGGAGAGCAAATGTATACAAATGGAAGTTGACAATGGACGGGTGTCATCTTCTGTCCATCACTCTTCTGGTCTGTTGCATGTGCAAACACATGCACACACCACCACCACCACCACCCACATAAGGTTATAAAATGTAATGAAAGTAGGAGGAAAAAGTGTTACAAAACCGAACAAGGAGAAGTCCATTTTGTATGAAACAGCATCAACTAGGCCCCAGGAGAAAGCATCTGCACCCGAGCCCTCAGATGCTGGGATTTTAGGAGAGGAGGCCGGGTTAGTGGGTGGTCAGTATTTTGAGTCCTGGCAGAGATGCTGCCCACCCTCCTCACCCTGGGAGCCCTGGACAGCAGGGCTGCAAGCAGGCCTCAGCTAACTCTCTTGCCCTAGAAGCCCTTCAATGGGAAGGCAGAGGGCTTTGGCCCACACAGCCCTTTAGTAAGGCCCAGGGTCCTAGGGAGTGACATCCCTTTCCAAGGTATAATGATGCCAGTGTCTTGTCATGTGGCTATTGTTTGCCCAGAACCCTGCAGGGCTTTCTTGCTAGAAGTGCCCTCTGGCGTAGGGTGGCCGATTAAAGGTGCTTCCTTCCATGAAGGTGGTTTTGGACTAGTCTGCTTGTGATACTCCTCCAAAGGGATCTCCCTGGGGGCAATACGACAGCTCAATATAAAGTGTGAAGACACGGGGGAGGAACCTGATGATTCCGCGAGTTTCCGAGCTTGGGGGTGAACAATCCTGGGGTGAACAATTGTTGTTTCCTAAACTGCCACCACTTTCTCAATCACAGAATATCCAGGTGCTTTTTTAGGTTCTACTTGATCAGCCATGCCAAATAACAGTTCAGAGCAGTGGGGTATATTCTAGAGGGCTGGGGGGAGATGCCCATCTGGCCCACCAGGCCTCTGTGCTCATCTAAATCCCAACCTACCCTCTGTTTCAAGAACGGAGGTGCTTCCTAAACTGAATTCAGTCAGCCCATCTTCTCCTGCTGCCTTTGTGGCAATGTCTTGCGTATGTATTTCCCATTGAGTAAAATTGTTCTGCCCTAGTTCCTTTTCAAGCCCTCTTGCCAAATTTATATATTATAATGGCTTTCTCAGCTCATAATCGAACAGGGGTACTATGCACTCATTTTTCTACAAAAGATTCTCAGAAGGTACTCATAAAGAAGTGATTATTTCATTTTTTTCCCTGTAGTCAAATAGCAGGGAGTGCTAACGTGCCAGCCCTCCCCAACAAAAGATTATCCAGTGTTTCTGGGATGTAAAACATATTTGAGACTGTGGAATTCACTCGAGTTGGATGTGGAAGACACATAAAACTTGGTCATACTCAGAGAATGGGAGAAAGACGGGAAAAAGGGCCCCGCGAGAGGAAACCAAGGCAGACTTCAGACCAAGGAGGCCAACGGCCTGAGCCTCAAGTCCAGCTCTGCAGCTTACAAGCTGGGAGTCTGTGGGCATGTTAATCACGCTCATCTGTAAAATGGGACTAATACAGCAGTTACCTCAAAGGGGTGTGTGAGGATCAATGAACGAAGGTGCAGACGGAAGGGCCCGGAGTCGGGTGGTGCCTGCAAGGCCCTAAGTGCATGCTAGCTCCCAGTTACCAGCCCCCTGAAGGGTATGGGGATAATTTCCTTTGCAGACCTGCATCTGACCCTGATCAGGAGGCTTTAGAACTAGAGTCTATGTGGTTAGTTGGTGATGGTGTTTTCACCGGGAACTAAATGGCTTCCACTGAAATTTCTGCCATCTAACTCGGGGCAGCTTAATCAGGAAATGCCCAAGACCTCTTCCATCTCTGGGCAGACGAGCCGGGCACATGGCTGGCTGGGGCTGCCTCAAGGAGACTGTCCTAACCTGCGCTGCCTTTGCCCTGCTCTCCCGTGGATCTCTGTACAAGTTATCTTGCTGCAAGTGCTGCATCTCAAAACTACATTTGCTGGGGGTGGGAAAGGGGAGGAAGTACCCCAAGAGTTTCCTCAAGTCATGTGAGGTAAGGCTGCACTGCCCTTTGACACTGACGGAAGACCACCCTCGTGTTCTTTGCTCAGAAACTCCTTTTTGGTTACCCAGAAAGTCCTGGAATCTGGAAAGAGCAATAGGTGTTCTAGTCTGCTAGTATCTCTGAAGAAAGACTCTCTTTCAGATTCAGCTCACACTCAGGCAGCAGTGTGCTAGCTTCTCTGCTTGGTCCTAACATCTCACACACTATCTTATTTAATTATTGCCCAGCGTCTATCTGCCCAAAGACAGAACAAATCACTGGAGTTCTACGGTGCAGATCCTGGAGAGTGCTTAAGCTGGTCCCTGCCAGCCTGTGGCAAGTGGTGGAGTGGATGTGAAACCCAGGTGTGCTGAGGCCATGCCAAGTGCTCTCTGTGAGTCTGGGCTCTGGAGTCCAACAGACTGGGCCAAGTTCTGGCTCTGCTACTTATTTGCGACGTGACCTTGGACGAGACCCTTAACTCCTCTAAGCCTCAGTTTCTTCATCTATACAATGGGGATAACGGTACACGTTACCATGCTGTTGTGAGGTTTAAGTGAAATAATGCATACTAAGTACTTACCACAGCGCTCGACACCTGGTAAGCCCTCCACAAATGATAGTTATTATTGTTGTTGTAGTTATTACCATTACTCTATCCCTGGTAAGTGGTATTAATAGGACTAAATTATATCTCAAGAGGCTCCACAGCTCTGTCACCAGGGGATCCATCTATGAAGTTCTCCACATTCCTGCTATCATCTCCCAATGTCCCCGGCTACCCTGCACACCCACAGAGGGGTGGCACAGATGCTGGGAACAGCTTTGGCTATTACAGGCTGACAGGCAGAAAAGGCAGCCCCACATCTGATGCCAGGAATGTGAAACCTGGGAACTACTGTCGTCTTTCAGAAAAACGCACTCGGTGAGAAGTCATGTCTGAGGAACACACACTGGCTCTATAAAGAGGTGAGTCAAAGTCAAGTGTCAGAGACCTGGCAGCCGACCCAGCGTGCCCTGGCTGAGTGTGACCTCTCTGGGTCTCATGTTTCTCATCTGAAAAATGGGAAGAGTAAACACTAATAAGTGTTTTCTGAAGGCAGTGGTGGGATGAGGAGAGCAGGCTGCCACGTGCCACCCAAACATGACCACTTTTATGTGTCCAGAGCTCATAATGTGGTTCCAGAAACTTCACAGGTGTTCATGAAATGTGTCTTGAATTGTTAGAAGAATTATGTATATGAAGTTCTTAAAATTCCAACTAAGACTTAAAGACTAAGAAAATTTAATTTAAAATGCAAAGTATTTTGGCATGCAGCAAATTAGGCACTAAATTTATAAAAGAGATCAATCTTAGTCAAGTTATAAAGTACAGCCCTTCATGCACTTGGGCTACCAACTTTAAGGGCCTCTGGGCAGGTCTGACTAATGTGGAGACCTGCGGAGAGGCCGAGTCTTCTGGAGCCACGGTGACAGTCAAGCAGCAATACCTCTTTGCCACAAAACACAGACTGAGGCAGCAGAGAGGCATCTGTGCTGCAGCTTGTTGATGGCTCTATCCTTCCCTTCAGGATAAGGGGAGCCAGGTTTGCCACAGTGCTGTCTGAGGGCCGGCCAGCCCAGGTTAGGGCAGTGGTGTCACTAGGGTTGGTGTCACCCACTGTGGTAACTCATGGTGTCACCCTCCCCCTTCCCATGGACCTCCTCCTATACCAGACCATAAAGAATCCTTAGTAATGTTTTTTATACTAACATTACTCATAAATTGTAATTTCCGAATATCATCTCATTTCCCTTTAATTACTACTTAATCCTCAAAAAAGTTATTGATACAGGTTCACAAATTCTAATCACCACAACATTGTAGCTACAAAGTCAGAAAATTTGACAAAATCAGCCAGTATGAAGACACCGGTAATGAAAACAGTATATGTTTGTAGTCTGTATGGACGAAACCATGGGATTTGAAGCTTACTGTAACTGGGTGATCATGACAGCTCTGCCCAGAGGGCATTGGAAGGTTCAAAAAGTAAATCAGCACAGAGTTTTAGCCTTGTAGATAGACTGATACATGTAAGCTGGGCTTACAAAAAATGTTTTTGTTGTTACATCTAACTACAAGGATATTTTTATAAAAAATAATAAATTTCTGCTCAAATAATGTACAAAATTTTATAGTCATTTTGGTGTCACCCTCTCGGACGGTGCTACCCAGTGTGGTCTGCACCCCCCTAGTGACACCACTGGGTTAGGGGTGTAGGTGCGTGCCTCCCCTTGGCCTTACTTGGACCCTGCACTGGGCTGAGGGCCATCAGGTAGCTCTGGGCAAGTGTGACTGGACTTCCTGGTCAAGGGGCCAGGTAGGGGCAAAACCCCCCAAGTTGACACTGCATCTGTTTTCCAAGACTAGACAAGGCCACTTCCCTTTCTACTGATTCTACTGAGTGGGGACCCTCTTTTGGGTTAGAACACGTGGCTGCATGGGTTCTCGGGTTAGAGGCAGCCGTTCAGTAAATTTATGACCTACTGATAGTCGGCGTGGGGCGAATCCCAGGGGTGCCCTGGTGCCTGAATCTTCCTGGAATCCTTTCAAAACACTCGGGTGGGTGTGGGCATAGCTTACAGGGATGCTGAGAACACAGGGAGAAAAGATGAGACCACCCCCAAGGCCAGAAGAGGGGGTGACGTTTACATTGGAGGGCTTGTTCTTTCCCCCTAAAGGCAGGGCTCTGGCACCCAAACAGACTGAATTAGAGTGGATAGAGCAGCTGGGCTTAAGTCTGACTCTGGACAGAAAAGGCGCCTGTACACAGTAAACATGTCACAGACTGTTATGGATTGAATTGTGTCCCTCCAAAATATGTGCTGTAAATCCTAACCTCTTTTCCTGTGGTTATAATCCCATTTGGT